ATGTGTCATGAGAGCCCGGAGTAGAATAGGCTGAAGCTCACCTTGATGACCAGCTCGCAGAGCCAAACAGGGAGCTCTTGGTACCAGTCTTTCGCTGTCACCGTCCGGTATCCTTTTTAGGAGCGAGAGTCACCCTATGACAAAGAAAGAGTAAGTCAGATGGCAAGATAGTAATGAAAGGCAGTAATAAAACAGGCAAAGTGCACGAAAGCAAATTTTGTACCTCAATAGCACCGTGAGAAAGGTGAGAGATCCGCTCTCTCAGAAAAATCATCCTTAGGTACGTCCACCACAAAGTCCTCGAATTGCAACATGCCTCTGGGGCCATAGTATGCGTGCGTAGATGGTAAGTGGCTGGGTCGAATGGCCTCAACCTTAGTGGCAATAGCTCAGGCTCAGGCCTTGAAGGAAAGACCTCATGTACCTCAAAGTCTACTATAATGTCCTCTGCCGCTCCGTCGGCCTCATCAACTACTGGCTCCTTCGCCTCTGCGACAGGTGGAAGTACGGGTACCTCAAGAGGGGCACCATCGTGTGGGATATCATCCTCCATGTGGAAAGTGGGTGAAAATGGAGAGAATGAAGAAAAAATAGGAAAAACCCAAAAAAGTCAACCCTAGGAGAGAGAAAATAAGAGAAAAAGTCAAAACACGGGGAAATTTTTGAAACCCAAGAAAAACCTAAGGGAAATAAGCCCAAAGTGATGAAAACCCAAAAAAATCAACGAAAACAAAATATGATCGGTTCAAAATGTAAAGGGCCAAAAGTGTTTTACAAATAAAGTTTGCGTGAGGCGTTGGAAAACGTGTATAAAGTGCAAATCTAGAGAGAGAAAACACGTAGAGAGAGATAGGGAGAGGATTTTCAGTCATGTGGGTGTGTGTAAAATGAAGCTTAGGTGTTGTTTTAAAGAGACCCGAGCCAAAAACCTGAAAATACCCCCGAAGTTGCCACGGGTAGCCGGCCGTCTGTCCACCTTTATGGCCGACTGGCCCCTTTGTGGTCCAGGGCTGGTTTCTACTATTCTCTTGCCTGATCTGTGTATGGGAGGTTGTATTTTGGTCTTCGGATGAAGAATTGAGGTATTTCAGGTTGGTTCGAATTCCGAAGGCCTTAGAATTGTGTTCTGGTGGCACCGTTCCAATTCACGCTGGTTCTTTGATGCTTGAATGTGTCGCAAATTTCAAATGTGAGCAAGGTGTATCCTTTTTAAGCATTTTGAGGAACCTCCGAGCAGTAGGTCGGAGATTGTTGCGGGGTGTCCTTAGACACCGCTTTCTGCTTATCTTTTCAATTTTGCATTCTTTTTGCATAGAACATGCAGTGCATCGTAAACTTATATACCCATCTTGGTTGCATGGAGCATGCATCGTTATTGTACCCACATCAATTATATCGTATTGTGTTGTATTCATGTACGTTGTGTTTTGTAGTTCTTGTATCCACCCTTGACACGTGAGTGTGATTTGGGTTTTCTCCTCTTAACCTCACTACGTAGAAGTGTGGTTTGGTTTGTTTTGTACCTCACTACATGGAACTGTAGCTTGTTTGTCTTGTACCTCGCTACGTGGAAGTGTAGCTTGGTTGTTTTTGTACCTCGCTACACGGAAGTGTAGCTTGGTTTGTTCTTGCACCTTGCTACGCGGAAGTGTAGCTTGGTTGCTTTTGTACCTCGCTACACAGAAGTGTAGCTTGGTTTATTTTTGTACCTCTTTACGCGGAAGTGTAGTTTGGTTGTTCTTGTGTCCTCTCTACGCAGAAGTGTAGTTAGGATCACCTCTCTGCGTGGTAATGTAGTTTGGTTGTTCTTGCACCTTGCTAGCTTGGTTGTTTTTGTACATCGTTACGTGAAAGTGTAGCTTGGTTTGTTCTTGTACCTTGCTACGAAGAAATGTAGCTCGGTTATTCTTGTGTCCTCTCTAGGCAGAAGTGTAGTTAGGATCACCTCTCTACGCGGAAGTGTAGCTCGATTATTCTTGTGTCGTCTCTACACGGAAGTGCAGTTAGGACCACCTCTCTACTCGAAAGTATAGTGTAGTTGTTTTGTGTCCTCTCTGAGTGAAAGTGTAGTTAGGATCACCTCGCTACGCAGTAGTGTAGCTTGGTTTGTTTTTGTTCCTTTCTACGCGGTAGTGTAGTGTGGGTTGTTTTTACACGAAAGTGTAGTTAGGATCGTCTCTCACCTTTCTATGTGGAAGTGTAGTCTGGCTTGTCTCTTGTTAACCTTTCTGGGCGTAACTGTGGTTTGGATTGTTTCTTATATGTGGAAGCGTAGTCAAGATTGTTTCTCGCTTGTTGATTTCAAATTGTTGCATTGAATCTCATCTTATTTTCATAATTCTCAGGCGGTACGCTCGCTCATATTTTCAACTGTTGCATAGCATCATTCATTTATTTCATATTCTGCACCTGAACTACATTGGTTTGATTCCTTGTAAAGGGATATGTAGGCAACCCTTGGATTTAACCAATTGCATTTATGCCTTGACTGTTTGCCCAAGTCTTACGGCCTTGTCAAAATGGGTCGTTTCTTGGCTTTGATATTCACTCGTGTCATTTCATGACTTCGAGCTCTGTCAAAGAGGGACAACTGTAGACACTCATTTTTTAAAGCCTTTACGACTTGGACGCCTCCGATTGATCACCCAATAATGAATTTATACATTGTACAAATGCTCGATTTCCTCATCAGGAAGCCTAGATTTTGAGTCTCAGAAGCCTAAAAATCTTGCACCACTTTTGGACCAAAACAAAATTTTTCCAATCCTGACCACTCAGAGGCCTGCAGGCCAACTAGTGGCCGGCCGGTCTGTTGTTCCGGTAGAGCAGATATTTGTTAGCTATCCCCCCATATGCATACACTGCACCAGCTAGCTCCATACAGATATTTCCGAGATATCAATCAGTTGTTCTATATATAGAGAGCCATACCTTATGTTTTTAGGTTAGAAAAATTTGTGAACTGCAAAATTCTTGAAAATATTTCTCTCTCTCTCTACCTTGTAACCTATATACATTCTATCTATACTCTCTAAACCTAATTTTTAGGGCTCCTTGCAGAGGTTCTTGACCTTGAATTTCAGCATTTGAGGGTGAGAAATTGTTGATTTGCAAATCAAAAGTGTTACTCCTCTTCAAGAGGTATAACTTCTAGCTTCTTTGCACCACTTCTTCCCTATCTTTACTTGTTGTTTTTGGACTGTTTTCATTGTTTTTATAGGCTGAAACTTGTGGCTTAAAGCTATTAAAGGTAGAGGGGTTAACCACCATTCTTTGAACCTTATTTTTCAAGATTTTGCCCTTGTGTTTCCCATCTATTTTCCAACTTTTTCCTATTGATTTTCAGAGTTTTGCAGAGGCTAAAAAAGTGGTTTTGAAGTGCCAAAAGTGGAGGGGTTAGCTACCCCTCCTTAAGCTTGTTTACTAGCATCATTTCTCCATTGTTTTAGCTTACTTTTTCTAGCTTTTCCATAATAATTTCAGCACTATTTTTGTTCTTTTTAGGCTTATTTCGGTTTGTTTATTTCATTCATGCTTTGTATAATATGCTTGTACTGTAATTGTCCTCCTGAGTTTGGTGGTTTATGCCTTAGACACTAACCTATTTGAGTTGGTAGCATTTATTTTATGCTTTTCATACTTATGTTCACCTATAATCGTCTCTGCACTCTCCGTCATTTCTTGGCTTTTATTTGTTTGAGAGTTGTTTCAACTGAGTGTTGTTTAAGCTTAAAAAATAGACCCTTCCATGCTTAATGGTTTAATCTCTTCGGAGGTTCACATCTCTCCCATGCCCAAAGAAACTTATTGTTTGACGTTTCTCTCCATTTAGTGAACTTAATTCTCATTCTTGGACTAAAATGACTAATGAATGAAAAGATAAGTAAAAGAAGCAGTAAAATTAGACTAAAATAGAGTAAGATAATAAAATCAAGTTAAGTTTAATCGGACGTTAATTGAACTCATTGAGTCTTGAGTCATTCCATACTTGTTAGTGATGATAATGGTTCAAGAATCAATGTCAACCACTTCCCTTGATCAATCCCATGATAGGGAGGAGGTTTTGTGGGTCTTTTATTTGCACTTATTGAGCCTTTGTCCAATCGAGTCATGGATCATCATGCAATAGCCTTACGATCATTGATGATTTATGAATCAATTCTACCCCACCATCGATCAATTCTATGATTTATGAATCAATTTACCAGATTGTGTCATGATTAGTAGAGATCAATCTTTGATCAGGTAAGTGGGGTGCTCAATTCATGACCTTCTCATTTCATACCTAAATTTCCGAGCCGAGATAACTTTTAAATTCACTTTTTACACTCAATGACATATAAATGAGATGATTAGTGAATAATTAAAAGAGATATAAAACAGATAAATAAACATAATTGAACTTAAAAAGTTGATCGAGAATAAGTTATTTTAATAATTTTTTAATTTTTTACAAAATATATATATATACATAGAAAACTAAAAAATATAATGTACAAATAAAAAGTATACTGTTTTAATAGTATCCCAGACAACTTCATTTTTTAATTTGAATATGAAAAATGTTTCAAACCTCTAAATTGTGAGCTCTAGGGAAGCTCTAAATTGTGCGTCACACTGTGTGATTTGATGTTTTAGCCTTTGTTTTGTTTTGTTTTATTTTATAAAGTTGCCACATCAGTAGAGCTTTTAATCACCATTGTTTGAATATATAGCACTACTCATTTCAAATCGTGAATAAATATTTAAGTCTTTTATGAATAAATATCGTATCTTATCTCTCATGTTGTGAGAGGATAAATTGATGAGAGAATAATGAAAGTATTTATTTCTCAAAGAACTAGAAAATACTAGGAAAACGCAAAATTACAAATAAATGTAGCTTTTTTCGTTTTATTTATTTATTTATTATTATTAATTTTTTTATTTTTTTTTGGTTAAAGAAAATAAAATAGCTAAAAGCAAAAGGGGAAAGAATTAAAATGGGAAAGGACTCAGGATCCATCAACGTCGAGAGAGAGAGACTCAATTCAATTCCATTCCATTATTCCATTGAACAGTACCCCATTTGTTTTCTCGAGTTCCAACCCATTCCCTGCACAACCACCATTATTATTTCCATGCAACCTCCTTTCTCGTTCCTCATTTAGATTGTAAAGATAAGGGAAATTAAGCACTCTCTCTCTCTCTCTTTCTCTCTCTCTCTCTGTCTCCCTCTCTCTTAAAAGATGTCTGAACCTCTGTGCATACCCAACTTCCCCTTTTTAATAACTTTTCCTTCAATGCGTCGTCCCCAAAAAAACTCTGTTTCTTCCTATTTTCCTGCACTGTTTTGCTGACTACTAGTAGCTCCCTACGCAATTCCACACTCTCTTTTGATTCTTTATCAACCCTAGATATGTATCCTACTAAAAGCCTATCTCTCTCTCTCTCTCTCTCTCTCTCTCTACCAAGGCAAATCATAAGGCACTCATGACATAATCGCAACCTGCCCTCTCTCTTGTTCGGCCCTCTTCATTGCCCTTCGTTCAAGGTTTCATCTTTCAACCATTGTTTTGAGCATCTTTTATTTCAGTCCTTAATTGTTTAATTCTCTCTCTCTCACTCTCTCTCTCGATCTTTGACTGAACTGAGCCTCCTCCATTCTCATGTTCCTAAGCTCAAACCCCATGAGAAGTGCTTCAACTTTGCCTGATCTCTCTTTACAGATCAGCCCACCATCCATTTTAGATTTTGAGGTTAAAGAAACAGGCTATGAAGGAATGAAATCATCATACAGTGACAGAAGCTCAATGACGGAGTCCGGTAGTAGCGGTGGTAGCGATATGAGCCAGGCAAATGGTTTCGTCCCCTCTTCTACAGAGAGGGATTTCAATTTCAATCATAGCCCTGTTGATCTTGAGCCCACGTTGAGTTTAGGGTTTGAGATGACAGATTTGAATCCACAGCCACTGCAGCAACTACCAACAAGAAACCTACACCATCATCGTCACATCTACTACCAACCTCAAATCTGTGGCCGGGAGTTCAAGAGGAATTCAAGAGTGATTAGTGGATTTAAGAGGAGTGTCAGAGCTCCGAGAATGAGATGGACTTCAACTCTCCATGCCCACTTTGTTCACGCAGTTCAGCTCCTCGGCGGCCATGAAAGTAAGTTGAACAATATCAAAAATATTGCCCCCATCATTCCAACTTATCTTTCTAACTTGATTGTATAGTTTAGACAAACTTAAATACACTTTTTGCGGTACAAAAATTATACAAACTTGCTTACATATTTCTGTATATTTTTGTTCCTCAACAAATGGTACAGGAGCAACACCGAAATCTGTTCTAGAGTTGATGAATGTCAAGGATCTAACCCTAGCTCATGTGAAGAGTCACTTGCAGGTCGGCTACTGTACTTTGTTTCTTTATTTTTTGTTATCGATGGTGTCTAGAGCCCGTCCCAACTAATATCCATATATTTGTAGTCCGCATCGTCCACATATACAAGTTAACTAATTGACGGCCTTACACCATGGGTGCGATTTTAGGAGAGTGATGAAGAACGAAATTTTTAACTATTGAATTGATCTAACCCCTTATTTCGAGCCCATAATTTTTTATATGCAAGTCACAAGTCCTGACCACTTTAACTGTGTTATAATGAATATTGGTTTGAACTTAAGGAGGACATTGATGTTTCTTTCTGATAATCATAGTTGTTTCTGTACTTTATCGTGTCTTAGACATTTATATTGCTACGATTCGTGTGTGTGTGTGTGTGTGTGTGTGTGTAGAGTGGGGGATTAGAATAGTCAGTACAATGGGTAAGGACAAAAGGGCATCTAGCTTGAGGGTAATCTTAGCATTGTGGACCCTTTTTTCCCCTAAAATTTTCTGTGGGTGTTCATGCAGATGTATAGAACAGTGAAGAGCACTGACAAAGGAACAGGTATTTGGATTTTCCTCTCAATCAAGGACCCCATTTCTTTATTGCTCTTCCTTTCCATCGTTCTCTTTCTTTTTGAGCTTGCTGATCTGAGCTGAGGGTGAAAAATCTTCTAGCAGTTGATAATACTCGATTCACTATTACAAACTACAAAAAAAGGTGTCATCTAGGATTGTACTGACTCTTTTATTTAGTCCATGTGAATTACTTTCTGGGTGTCTGATAAAGCTTAGTATGTGATTATAGGTGTTACAGGTCAAGGGCAGACAGATTATGGTTTAAACCAGAGGACAGGGATAGTACTTGAAGCTGAATCCAACCCTTCTTATTCTCTAAACCCATCACTACCATTACCAGCACTGCAAAATACCCACAGGTTAGTGCATTTGCCGACCCCCTCTATTTTTGTTTTTTCTTACCATCATTATTTGACAGAGTGCATATCCTCACTTTCCATCATTACAAGTTGAAAGAAATACTGATTGAGCATGAAGAAATTTATTGGTGCAGACATGTATATATACATTCACACACAGATAGACAAATGCCTTGGTGCTGCAAATATTTTTGGTCCAACATACTCTTTCCTTGTGAAAGATGGAGTTTCAAGTACATTGATTTTGATGACCAAGGTCTAGGGGTTTCTAGCTAGGTGTAATGTTGATTAATGAATTAATAAGTTCTAGTCGCTTTTGATTGTGAATGGATGTCAATGTATTCTAGAAGTCATGGCTCAAATCTCTAAACGGTAAAAATAGAAATAGAAGATGTATATAATAGCACTACTTATTCCTAAATTATTCAAAATATGGTCTTATAACTGAGTCTTATAACTGACCAATCTTCTATAAGTCATCAAAATTATATGTGATTAAAATCAAAATTTGTATTTTATAAATTTAAGGAAAAATTGAAATTCAGTGTAAGTTTTCAAAACAAATTGTAAATCAGTGATAAAATTTATCAATTTTAATAGTTGAAGTGATGAACTTTTTTATGACATTATAATTTTTTTGATCTTACCACTAATTTGTAATTTTTTCTAAATTTAATAGTGTACTTGTCGGCCAAGTTGGGGAAGACTAAATAAGTGCACTTTTTGACTTTTTATGAAATATAGGTTGGGTTTGGGTTGAGTTTGAAATGATGTGTTAGAGAGATGATGTGACTTAAATAAGATTGTGACTTTTTGACTTTTTGAATTTTTTGGAGGATGCCAAACTTAGCCTTAATCTCTCTGTGTCCTTTCAAATATTATAGTTCAATTATGTTTTGAAATTTTCTATAGAATTAAAAAAAATATAATATTTTAAGATAGAAAGACAAAATATTTAATGAGAAAGGATCCATAACTTAACAAAAGTGCCGTTAGGCTATATCTCAAATAGGTCTGTCGTCTCTGTCCTATGGACAGCCCTTCAAAAGACACATTCGCTTGTTTTTAATTACCTTATTCAAACCTAGAGTTCAGATTTGAGCACCCATCTGCGTGAAGCATTAACAACACTTCCAAACAAAGAAACAAAAATATAAACAGTGTTCAATTTGATTGTATGATCAATATCTGATAATAAACTATTGACCATCAAGCCATTAACTATTAGGGATAAATAATTTTATGAAACCAAGTAGTTTTAATTTATCCTCTTAATTTGTTTTAACATATTCAATATTGATTTTTTACGTTTGGTGTCTCATGAATTTTTGAACAGAGGTTTTTGGTCATCGTCAATGGAAACAAATGATTGGAGGCAATCGAGTCATGAAAAAGCATTAAATCATTCTCATTTTGGGGCAAATGATACCAAGGTATCATTGACTAGACAAAAACAACTCAAAACATTCTAAAACCTATTGAGACATCATTAACTCTTATAATTAAAATTAATGTTTGATTTATTTGATGTTTCTAGATGGATGGACGCGAGACAGCCCTCCACATGTCTGACAGCAAGAAAGAAAGGTTGGATGATAGCAACTTGTCATCTTCCGATATGTTGCTTAATCTAGAGTTCACTCTTGGAAGGCCAAATGGACTATGCTGAAGCTCCAAATGACTTGACCCTTCTCAAGTGTTAAAACACTAGAAAATAAAACCATATTATGCTCTCTCTCTCTCTCTCTAGCACGGACGACATCCTTAGTGTGCATGCATTTGTTCCAAGCTCTATAAAGTTAGTTTGTCCCAGACAGGAAAAGAAAGTCGGAAATGTTATGATTCTATTAAATGAATTATTTGTACGAGTGCAAAAGGTCTCTGGGACCTAGCTATGTGATGTGTCTATTGATTTTCCCCCACAACAAAAGGTATATAACATTAGATTGTTTTAGTAAGAGGACTGGAGAACCTCAAGGCTACTCTTTCACAATTTATACACAAATTTATTCAGATTCATATTTAAAATAAAAATAAAGACAAACAAACAAACAAACAAACAAAATAAAACAAAAAGAAGTAAATTACACTAATCTCCCTTAAGATGTGAAGAAAACTAAAATAAGACTCACAAGTTTCACATAATTACATTGAGTTCTCTTAAAATTTTAAGTCATTTATGTAACACTTTGTTCATTCTTATCATTAATCACTCCTTTAAAAAATAATAATAATAATAAAATAAAAAAAAGATGTTATCATCTATTTTATATTGAAATATATTAGCCTTACTAAGAGGCAAGTCATTGTTGTTAACTAAAACTATGGACCGTTTTTATTTTCTTCAAATTATTATCCTTTGGTAGTACAATTATTAAACTTCAAAAATATTAATATTAATGAATTTAAATGGAAAACAAAATAAAAAATTCATGTTATTTTATTCTTGACTTTTAAAAAAAGACTAATATTTTAGGATAATAAAAAAATAGAAGGGAAAATTATGCAAATAGTTCAAATTTATTCAGATTCATATTTAAAAAAAAAAAAAAAAAAAAAAAAAAAAAAAAAAAAAAAAAAAAAAAAAAAAAAAAAAAAAAACAAACAAACAAACAAAACAAAACAAAACAAAACAAAACAAAAACAAAAAGAAGTAAATTACACTAATCTCCCTTAAGATGTGAAAAAAACTAAAATAAGACTCACAAGTTTCATATAATTACATTGAGTTCTCTTAAAGTTTTAAGTCATTTATATAACACTTGTTCATTCTTATCATTAATCACTCATATGAAAAAAAAAATAAAAAAAAATGGGATGTTATCATCTATTTTATATTGAAATATATTAGCCTTACTAAGAGGCAAGTCATTGTTGTTAACTAAAACTATGGACCGTTTTTATTTTCTTCAAATTATTATCCTTTGGTAGTACAATAATTACACTTCAAAAATATTAATATTAATGAATTTAAACGGAAAACAAAAAAAAAATTCATGTTATTTTATTCTTGACTTTTAAAAAAAGACTAATATTTTAGGATAATAAAAAATAGAAGGGAAAATTATGCAAATAGTCCCTGTACTTTACAAAATGTGTTAATTTGGTCCCTGTAATTTCAATTTGCTCGATTTTGCCTCTTAATTTAACAGATTGTGTCATTTTATTCCAATAAATAATGGTTGTTAAGTTAATTTAAGGGAAAGTCAAACAATGTGTCGATTTGGCCCCTGCATTTTTCACAATGTGTCAATTTAGTCCCTGCCAAAATCAAGAAAATTGAACTACAGGAACCAAATTAACACATCGTGTAAAGTACAATGACCAAATTGACACATTATTTGACATTCCATTAAATTAATTTAACAACTGTTATTTATTGGATTAAAATGACACAATCTGTTAAATTAAGGGGCAAAATCGAGCAAATTGAAACTATAAGGACCAAATTGACACATCATATAAAGTGCAGAGATTATTTGCATAATTTACCTAAAATAAAATTAAAACTAATATTTTGAAACGGAACAAATATTTACTTTGACATTATCAGAGTAATTATTCTCTCATCGAAAAATTTCATGGTGATGGACTGTACCTGGCTGATAACATTGCGCTATGTATTTTAACGACAAATAATAATAATAATAGAAATGACATGAGAAATTATAAAACACTAATGGTTTCACACTCAACCACATGGTGACCATCAACTCATTCAAATGTTAAAATGGGAATGACACTTTTATTATTTATATTATATCTTCAATACGCTTACACACATGTGGCTTTAAATGCATAACATGGGTTCTACGGATTGTGAACCTCTCATTGCATATTAGTAATGGAGATGATCCATTACATCATCTGACGATAAATGTAAAGATTTTTTCTTAATTTAAAATAATTATAAATTTGGACTAATATTTCATAAGCATTACATATATGTATATATTTGACTAGCAAAGAAGTAATATTTTATTAGATAAATAAAATATTATAAAAAGAAAACATTACAGAAAAATACACCTTTGACTACTGAAAAAGTTAGTCGCCAAAGCCTTCTTTTTAGTCGCCGAAAATCAATAGCGACTAAAATCTCTAAAATCTTTAGTCACCCAGTTAGTTGAGATAACTTGTCGGTGATAGTATTTGGTGACTAAAACTTTGTTAGTCACTAATTCACAACTTTTGGCTACTAAATCTGACTTACACCTTTTGGCAACTAAAATTGTAGTCACCAAAAATTCCCAAATAAAAATAAATTTAGCTTTTAGCGACTCAAAGTTTTAGTCGCCAATAAGTTTTTGTCACAAATAGTACAACATTTAGTGAGTAAATATTTTAGTTGCCACTTTATGTCACATTTAGCCACCAAATATTTTAGTCGCCGAAAGTTGTTTACGACTAAACATTTCAGTCACCCAAAAAAAAAAAAGATAGAATTGTCCCATTGTATTTTACGACCAAATATTTTATTTGCCGAAGGATGACAAGTTTTTTTGTCACTAAAATGTGTAGTTGGCAAAAGTTTTTTTTTTTTTTTTTCCTTCATCTTCATTTCCGTCATCTTGATTTGTTTTGGCAACTATTTGGTTGGCAAAAGTCTCTTTTATTTTATTTTTTTTTTGGCTACTAAAATATTTAGTCGGCAAAAGCTTTTTTTCCTCATCTTGATTTGTTTTGGCTACTAACTATTTGGTCAGCAAAAAGTATTTTTTATTTTTTTATTTTTTTTTTGGCCACTAAAATATTTAGTCGGCATAAACCTTTGCTTGGTTTTTTGGCTGCCACATATTTAGTCTCTAAAAACTTCACTTCTTTTCTGTCTACTAAATGTTTAGTAGCCAAAAACTTTATTTAGAATTTTTTTAGTTAATTTCTCGACAATCTATATTTATTCCATTATTAGTGCAACCTGTATCTAGTATATAAACGAAAACAATACATATACCAATTATATTATCAACCATTCAACAACCTGCATACATATTACTTTCAACCATCCAAAAAAATCATATTTAAAATCAAATTCCAAATGTAATACGAATTCAATACAAAAGAAGTATAATCCAACCTAAAATTGTAATTCTATACAAAACAGAAGATTATACAAAAAACATGTCATCTGTACACAAAAAAGTAATATCCACATGATCATGCCAAAAGGTAATACGTACCATGTCTTATGTACGCAAAAGTAATATCCACAATATCCAATCTATACCATGCCAAAAAGGTAATCTATACCTCTCCAAAACTAATTTATACCAAGCCAAAAGTTGTCTGTATGATGAACAATAATCCGTAGACAAAAAATAATGTCTTCCGTAGATGAAAAAGGAATATCCACAATTTCACGAAAAAAAAAAAGAAGAAAAAAAGCCATATGTAAAAATAAAATTAATCATTAGTATTGACTGAATAACATTGGCATATTTCAAATTTTAAAAGAAAATTATATAAAATTCAAATATAATTTATCTTTTCAAATTAATCCTTAGTTTTACATACTCGAATGCATATAAAAGAAAATTATGTAAAACTTGAATGTATATAGAGCAACCAATAATCTTTTAAAATAGATAATTAATCATTAGTTTTGCATTTTCGAACCCCAAACGTCATTTTCAACTAAGTACAGGGATTTTCGACTCTAACTTCTAATGTACGTGCCCTATTTACGTACCATCTATCCTCACAAGTCATATTTGGCACGAAAAAGCTGCATGTGACATCTACTAAGTGGTCCAAGGATTGTTTTACATTTTCGCCCTCCAAACGCCATTTTTCGACTAAGTTTAAGGCGTTTTCAACTCTAACTCCCAACCTACGTATCCTATTTATGTACCGTCAATCCTCATAAGCTGCATTTGGCATGAGGAAGCTTCCCGTGACATCCATTGAGCGGTTCGGCTGTTTTGTATTTTCGCAGCCAAACGCCCTTGTTAGACTAAGTTTAAGGTGCTTTCGACTCTAACTTCCAACCTACGGGTCCTATTTACGTACTGCCTGCCCTCACAATTTTTATTTGGCACGAGGAAGCCACCCGTGACATCTATTGAGTGGTTTGTCGGTCATTTTGCATTTTTGCCCACTGAACACCATTTTTTGACTAAGTTTAAGGTGTTTTCGATTTTAGCTTCCAACTTATGTGTCCTATTTATGTACCATTAGTCCCCACAAGTTGTATTTGGCATGATGAAGATGCCCATGACATCCATTGAGTGGTTCAAGGTATTGTTTTGCATTTTCACCCATCGAACGCCCTTTTTTGACTATGTTTATGGCGTTTTCAACTCTAACTTTCAACGTATGTGTCCTATTTATGTACTTTCAGTCCCCACAAGTTTTATTTGGCACAAGGAAGCTGCCCGTAACATTCCGTAAGTGGTTAGGGGCCTGCTTTACATTTTTGCCTCCAGAACGCCCTTTTTCTACTAAGTTTAAGGCGTTTTCGACTCTAACTCCCAACCTACGCATCCTATTGATGTTCTGTTAGCCCCCCCAAGCCATATTTTGCACGAGAAAGCTTCCTGTGACATCCATTGTGTGGTTTGGGTGATGTTTTGCATTTCCCTCCTTGAGCGCTCTTTTTCAACTACGTTGAAGGTATTTTCGACTTTAACTACTAACCTATGTCACGCCCCACTTTTTATTACTCGAAATCATTACCAACTTCATTAATTTAATTCAATATCAGAGATAACATGCGGAAAAACTCTTTAATTCTACGAGTAGAAATAAACAACAATCCTCTCATCCGAATGCACATTAATTACAACATGAGCATACTTAATAAACTGCCCGAGGGCTTACATCATTAAAGAATCAAGAAGAAGGGTGTAACCCTTTT